ACTTAATAATATTGATCATATTTTGTGTTTGTAACTGGGGATTTAAGATAACTAGTTCTTTCTTCGTGTAAGATACCCATTCTTGAAATATATTACTTTATAAACGTGTATATTAAGTGTCTTTAAATCGTGTGTCTTTTACAAATATATGTGCCTAAAAATATTCTACTAAGCTATTCGATTATAACTATATCAGAATTAAAGTTCCAGAGAAGTCGAGACTTCCACGCCTATCACTGGGAAAATAGAATCTATATTAGATAAACCGCAAGGTACTTCTAACAAAAAACAATACGTTAAAAATAACTTCAGTATTTGATAATTTTTTTTATGTGACTGGCTCAGCCACGTTCTTTCGTATCGTTACAAAACGTAAAAATAAGTTTTTATTTGATTTGATTATTTTTATTGCTAATATCTTGAACCAAAATCACGTGGTTCTCTGACAGTGTTCCACGCAATTTGTGAGAGTTTAGCAACTTTCAGGAAAGCGTGTAAAGTAAACATTTATCATTCAGTTGAGTACCGATATCTGCGTCTGGGGTTTTATATAATATGACGAACCCATATTAAGTATTTTCTTCACCTAATTGTATACTGGCATTAGAGTTTACTTTAATGTTGAAATAATTAAGCAGTGACGAGTTTTGTGCTATTTAAATGAAACTTCATTTCCTATAACAATTGTTTCAAAAATGGATCATCTGATCCTTTGATTATTATTCAAATTGCTCTTTTTTTTTCTTTCATACAGATGCTCCACTAGCAAGTCTATGGTTTTCTGGAAATAGAAAGTCTGGATCAGTAAGGGAAGGATCTGACGTTTACTTTGAATGTTTAGTTCAATCCAATCCCGAGCCTGTAAAGATTTCCTGGATGTTTGAAGGAAAAGAGCTACAGGCCAGCAACTCAATGAAAATTCTAGTTCACAATTATACATTAACTGTGAAAGAAATAAGCCGTTCCAGTAGAGGGCGCTACAGCTGCACAGCAACCAATAGTGAAGGAAAGGGGGAAAGTGGCATATTTTTTCACGAGTACAATGTACTTAAATTAATATGTTTTCATAATTTTATTTTACTAAAAATTTCTACGAACACAATGTACTGAAATTAACATTTTTTAATATTTTATTTTATTAAATATTTCTACGAGTACAATGTACTTAAATTAATATGTTTTCATAATTTTATTTTACTAAAAATTTCTACGAACACAATGTACTGAAATTAACATTTTTTAATATTTTATTTTATTAAATATTTCTACGAGTACAATGTACTTAAATTAATATGTTTTCATAATTTTATTTTATTAAATATTTCTACGAATACAATGTACTTAAATTAATATGTTTTTATAATTTTATTTTACTAAATATTTCTACGAGTACAATGTACTTAAATTAATATGTTTTTATAATTTTATTTTATT